GAGTAGAAATTGCTATAGATATAATTCTTTAATCTTTAACTTATTAGTAGTTTTTATTTTACTAGTAATAAATGTTTATACTGTTTCCCCAAGTCCTGTCTCTCTTTTGTCTGCAAATACCTTCTCTCAGCTAGTAGTAATTGTGTGGGGGGTAGAAGGCAAAATGGACCCAGAGCAAAACCACGACAGTGATCCCGCGATTTAGTGCTGAGAGGAGGTACAATGTAATGCTGAAGGTTGGTGGTGGGTGGGTAGGTGATCCTGATCTCAGCGTGTCATCCCCCGGGTCCAAAGGAGAGGATCATCGAGGGGTGTTTCACGTGCACTGGAAGGGCACTGGCAGAGAGATGGAGAACCTGTTGCTCTCTGACATCATCCCCCCCGTTCAGCAGTACTGTGGGAAAACACTGTGGAGCCTGTCCCAGCTTCTGTTGGTTTGTGTGGCCCTGCCCACGGCAGGGGGGGTTGGAACTTGGTGATCTCTAAGGTCCCTTCCAACCCAAACCATCCCACCATTCTGGGATTTGTACTCAGCAAAGGCACTTGTGGTCCAGGCTTTGCTTGGGCCCTCCAGCGACCATTTTTTGATCAGCATGAAGGCAGGTCAGTCACCTGAAAAATATTCTGAAACCTTGGGGTTTCTTGTGTTTTGGCACCTCCAGGAGTTACTGATGCTCCGTTTTAGAGCCTGTGGGGCAGGAGGGATGGACGGTTCCTCAGCTTGTCACCTGCACAAAGACCTGTCTGTGGGCAGCGAGGGGACAATTCTGCTCACAGCAGGTTCCTTGCTTGGTTCCAGACCCTAAAACACCTCTCAGGCGGATCAGAAATTCAGAGGGAACACGTTGAATGTGTTTTATCTGTTAAATAACTCTTCCTGAAAATGTGAAATGGAGGAGGGAGGTGGGTACAGTTCAGATCTGGTTTAAAGTGGCTTGAATGAAGTTCTCACAGTAGGGTTTTTTCTTCCCTTTTTTTTTTTTTTTTTCCCCCCCAAGTCTAGGATTGACTCATTTGGTGGTGTTAAAGTGCACTTTCTACTTATCCCCAGAGGAAAGTTACTATTCTTTTAAGTGAAACTATTTTAAAAGCAGAACACAAGCCTAAAATAAGCCAGTGTTCTCTAGAGTTCTCAGAAGGTGTAGATTTATTTACTGTAGTTAAATCATAATTAGTTC